GATAGCAGTGTTCCAATATTTATGGGTTGCTACAAAGATGAGGGGTAAATTATTTTCCAAAGCTTCCAAAAGCAAGAGGAGAAACAATGGATGGAAACCAATCAAGGAGACAAACAACCTAAAAATAAGGAGAAATTTCCTAATGGTGAGAAGCATCAACCAGTGGAACAGATTGCCACTGAGGTTGTGGGTGCTGCATTACTGGAGGCTTTCAAAAAGAGACTGGAAAAGCATTTATCTGAAATTGTATATGGTCTCCTGCTCAGAGAATTTATGTACTAATTGTGTAGCATATGCTAGCCAGCCTTTTCACTCCTTCTCTCAACACAGCCCCAGAATTCAACCACATGTAGTGGTCATACCGGAAGAACAGATAATCATCTCAAATAAGATTAATTTTGTACTGTTAATTTGTGGTTTAAATTTTACTTTTCTAATCTTTCAAATAAAAGATTTTAATTTTCTTGATTGATGACTTTGAGCCAACCTATTTGGTTGTGAGAAAAATTGCCGAAGGAAGAAAAAGTGGATTTAATTGAAGTCCTACAGAAAGGCTTGGCCAAAATATAATCTCTGATATTCATTAAAAAAGAAAGAAAAGTTTCTCTTTCAACCTTCTACAAAAATTACCTGTGGAATCTTGAAGATACTTATAACTTGTGCCATGTAGGATGAAGTAGGAGCATCTAATCCTCCAATGGTGGCCATGAGATTCTTCTGGGTATAACATTTGTAGTTAGGGGCAAATTCCTGGGATTTGAATAGGAGGTCCAGAGTGGAGCGATAGGTCATGCTTGGGTTGTAGTAACTATCATAGATGTGGAACCCAAGGGTGATGTTAGGTAAGATCTGGGAGTCCTCATTGATCTCCTTCACAGCAAAGGCCAAGGCAAGGACGTGCTGGTAGAATTTGGTTATTACACTGCAAATAAATTAAATACCCCATTGAAAAAAGAATTTCACAATTCTTGTAAAGTGGCAGCATTTCTATATGAATAACAAACCATCTCTCTTGGGAGTAGGAATAGAATATCCTTTCTAAAATATTCAATAGAGTTCCACAGAGTTCAATTTTACATTTTACCTGGTGTTTTCATGATTTTCAACAATAATATACTACAGCAAATAAAACTAGTGACTTTTTTCAGTTAACAAATATAATTCTAACAATTTGGGCACAAAGTATAATAGGAACAGCTTCAGCAAGTATCACTCATTTACTCTATGTATGTTTTGTGAGGGCTGATCATGCAGAACATTTTTTTCAATTACCTCAAGCTCATTAAATTTAAATTATACAATAAATTAATCATTATATTAATGTCTTTCTCATGAAATTCATGTTATTTTGGTGTAAGAAGTCCTTCAATAGACTTCTTGTACCTAACTTTCATGCATTTCATGAGAAGGACATTAATATAATGTAAAGAAAATGCTTTCTTCTGCCATAAGACAATACATGTGAAAGATAAAGGCTTGTATGTGTGTGTTTGTGTGTGTGTATGTGTGTGTGTAAACCCTGCATTTATTTTCAAAAGCTTTTACAGCTTTCTCATGAAAGTTTGGTGTAAAATGTCCTTCAATAGACTTCTTGCACCAAACTTTCATGCATTTCACGAGAAGGTCTTTAATAGAATGTAAAGAAAGCAAATATCAGAAATTTTGGGCGACCTGGCTAAGCTAAGAAAATACATGGGAAAAATAAAACTTCTTACAGAGGTAAGTCATAAGGTTTTAGAGAAGGGTGTTCCTTAAATTCAATTTCATAAAAGTGGTAAAAAATGTGAGACACCATCCCACCAATGACAAGATCACCAGGCTGGAACCACTCATGTGGAACAGGGAAAGCTTCACTTGAAGGGCATCTCAGAGTAACTACCTTGTGCATCAGGAACATCAAAAGGAATAACATCTTCATGCTTTTGGGATGGTGAAAATGTTTTTGTCTTCCAGAGTATGTATGCACCCCAATGGTTCATCCACTGTTTAATCCAAAGATTTTATCTGAAAATGCCCTTCATGGGACAATCCATCAATTTCTGTTTGAAGAGCCGTGTGTGTGCCAATTTGTATCTTGAATATCACCAGATTCGGAATATATATTCTGGCAAGGAAGAAAGGCAGGAGGGAACGTGACACAATGAATCAGCCAGGATCATTATTATCCCTTGTGCCAATCTCCCTGTGGTTCAAAAGTTAATTAACAACTAAAGAGATACCTTGATTGTTGTTGAATTGAAATGCCTTCATGCAAAGTCTTTAATATTTGAGCCTAGCTAAAAAAAAACATGATGATTCCGCTAGATAATTGTTTTATTTTTCATGGAGCAGCATGGTGGTCTAAAGGGTGAGTTTTTGCCTCTCAGTTAGGAGGCTGTGAATTTGATCCTAGGTAGTGGCAGATGTTTTTCTCTTTGGGCATAAAATATCTGCTGTGAACTCCATGTAGGCATCAGGAAGGGCATCAGGGCAGTAAATGCTCAGGTCCATTCAGTCACCCTGATTCCACCCCAAAGAAAGGGATTACAGGGTCATTAAAAGAAAAAGAATATATTTTTCATGAAAGAATAAATGGCTAATAGTTTAATTATTTTTTTAACTGAACACAGGCCAATATAAATAGTCTAAGTCAGAGCATCACAAACCACAATAGGAAATATTGAACTGATACATAAAGAAAAGAAAAATTGTGGTTACTGAGTGTGACTGTGAGAATTTCCATGGCTCTGTTTCAGTAGGTTGTGTGTTCCACCAACGAATCCTTGTCTTCGTGCATAGTGTCGCATGAGGATCCCTGGATATCGTCTCTGAAACTGTCATGGCTACCTCACCATATGTTTGCTGCATATTTTGTGGGTGCTGCTTCCTTTATTGTTGATTGTTGATCCTAAGAAAAAAAATGTAAATTTCAGGATCTTGTTTCTCAGTTCTGGTTGCTTCATATTAATCTGGTTTTTTAAAAACTATATTTAATCATATCCTCACTAGCAGCGGGAATTTAAATTTTTAAAATGCTTTTGCTCAGCAAGTTTGGGCCTAACTAAGATTCCTGTAAGAAATAATTATTTTCCTATTGGTGAGATAATAAATGTCTGATGGTTTAATAATGAGAAAATGCCAATTAAAATAATATATAGTAAGGGACAATGACAATAAAAATAGGCCTAATTGTTCAAATTCATGTTCATTTCTTACAATGGAGCAGGATTCCCAGTTTTCATTTAAAATGAACTGAGTAGTTGAAGAGAGAAGAGGAAACATTTTTATTTATTAAGGAATGCAAATTAAACAAGATAGCTATTTGGATGAATTTAGTGGTAGGGCAATGTTGGAAGAAGGAATCTTTGCCTACTTTGCAAGAATGGTTTCTTAAAGTTTCTTATTTGGAGGAAATGGCAAAGATTTCGGCTTTTTTGAAAGATCAATCGCAAGAGAAGTATCTCTTGATATGGAAAAGATGGATAGATTTTATATAATATAAGTTGGATATAAAAAAATATTATTTAGTTTTTGAATAACTTATATTTAAAGTTTAAGATATTTTATAGATATTTTTCTTAATTCTTTATTTTCCTTTTTTATTTTATTTTTTCTTTTTCTGTTTCTTTTTTCTCTCTTCTTGTTTTTTTTATATATACTGTTGTCAACTACTTTATAATTTGTGTAATTAATGTATTCGGATATGTTCATGGAATATATGTGTTTTAAGATTTTTTTTAAAATTTTAATTAAGCCTGTATCCAGCTCTGGGAAGGTTGGGGGAGGGTAGGGGAGGGTCGGGAGATTTCGGGGAAGGGAACTTTTTTTGGGGAAAATTTAAAAAATTTTCAATAAAAAAAAAAAAGATAGCCATTTGGATAAATTCACTCATATTTCCAGGCAGAGAATGCTAATGTGAATCAACAGCAATATTGATATCATGAAATTAAAATACAGGAGCCAAAGCAATTTATTTATTTATTGTTTTGACAAATAATTCAAACCATCAAACATATCCAACACATTTTCCTGTTCCTATTTTTCCCCAAACAACAATGACCCTCTGAAGTGAGTTGGGCTGAGAGAGAGGGACTGTCCTAAAGTCACCCAGGTGGCTTTCATGGTTAAAGTAGAACTCATGGTCTTCTGCTTTTTAGCCTGGTGTGGTATTTTATTAGCCATATATTATATGATGGAAGGGGTCTCCACCAAAGGACTAGTGGAAGACACACCTAAATCAAACCAAATCAAATCAAAATCTATTACCGACATCAGCCAGCATATGTTTCTAATAAGGGATGAGGCAGAAGGAAGATTACATTTCATATCTCTTTAAATTGCAACATTATTAAAATTGGATAGTAGGGTACAATAAAAATATATTATTAATCATTTTCCATAGCCAGAAAGAACACATGATGTAGTACATTCTCTTTATTAATTGTTCCCTGTGGTTTAGCTCAGGCCACAAAACAATGATGTAGCACATATATTACATGCATATATTACATAATATAAGGGGTCTCCTCCAAAGGACTAATGGAAGACATACCTAAGTCAAACCAAATCAAATCAAACTTTATATGGACATCACTCAGCATACACTTCTAGTAAGGGATGAGGCAGTAGGAAACTTAAATTTCATATAATAAAGATACCTTGGTGGATGGAGAGTGAATGGCTAGACTGTTCATGAATTTTTTTTAAAAAAACAGAGTTAAATGTATATTAAATGTTCAAAAACATTTTACCTTTTACCTTTCAAAGATCACCAATCAATCCAAAACAGACTCACTATGATACTGAGCTAAATACATGTCTATAAAATATCCATTAGCTTTTTCCTATATTTATACAGTGGTTTATAAAGTGAAGCTATAAAAACCATGAACTGCCAGCTGCCCTTTATCCTTAAAGTCAATATGTCAAATCTCTTAAAAATATTAACAGACAGATTGTCAAAATCTTGTTAGCTTGATGCATTCAAAGGAAAAAAACGTTAGGTAAAACAATCTGATGTACTACATTTTCTTTATTAGTTGTTCCCTGTGGTTTAGCTCAGGCCGGAAAACAATGATGTAGCACTTTGGCAAGAATATGCATCCCAGTAAGGCAGCGCTGGAAGACAAGATGGAGAAGACTTCCACAGCTATCATGGCTTTGCCTTTTGTGCTCAGATAGGCTGGAAAGAAGGAGACCCACACACTGCAAAAGGCCAACATGCTGAAGGTGATGAACTTGGCTTCATTGAAACTGTCAGGTAATTTACGGGCAAGGAAAGCCACAATGAAGCTGGCAATGGCCAAGAAACCCATGTAGCCCAAGACACAATAGAAGAATGTAGCTGCCCCCTCATTGCACTGTAAAATCACTTCTTGGGGCTCTAAGTGCATCTCTAACTCAGGGAATGGGGGATATGTTGACAACCAAAGAGTACAAATACATACTTGAACAAGAGAACAGGAAAGGACCGCAGCAAAGGCCAATCTTTTCCCCACCCACTTCCTCATTTGAGATCCAGGTTTAGTGGCCATGAAAGCCACAACCACCGTGATGGTTTTGGCCAGTACACTAGAAATGGCCACTGAGAAGGTAATTCCAAACGTTGGTTGTCTGAGAAGGCAGGTCACTTTGCCAGGTTGGCTGAGAAATAAAAAAGAGGAGAGAAAACAGAACAAAAGCGAGACAAGGAGGGTATAGGTGAGAGACCTGTTGTTGGCTCTGACAATGGGAGTGTCCCTGTGTTTAATAAAAGTTCCAAGTACCCAAGATGTCAAGAAGAAGAAACCAAGAGTGACTGAGGCTAAAACAATTCCTAAAGCTTCTTCAAAAGTTAGAAAGACCAGCAGTTTCAGGATACAGCCTTTCTTTTCTTTATTTGGGTAATGATCTTCTGAACATTCAAAACAGTCATCCATATCTGGAAAGAAAAGCCAACAAATTTGTCATCTATCCATTTTGTGTTTTTGAAAATTATAGCCTGTGTGGATGCCACTTCTGATTCTTTTCTATAATGAACCTTTCTGATAAAATGATATTTAGAGTAGAATAGAACAAAACAGAACAGAATAGAAACTTTATTTTCACTTTGAATGTACACTAATTGGCACACATTAAAATGGAATTTCATTGCATACAGCTCTGAAAGGGACATGTCCATCCCTTTATTTTATCTTGACTTTACAATGCTTTTGTTTTCTACGTGGAGAACAATAGTTGGTTCTACAAATATCCATCCCGTGTGCCTTGGATGATAAAATAACTGATCCGTTCATAAGACATCTGTGACCTAGTGAAATTCCCTTTGCTTCTACGTATTTTCCGGTTTTTATGGAAGTTAAAACTTGGAAAATGGCAGATCATGTGGAAAAGAAATGTTGCATTCATTGCAGCTAAACTGACCTTAATCAGTTTATAGCACTCAGAATGTTGAGGGTGAAGGTTCATTCTCTCAACTTTTTGTTACCAGGCTAGGTAACATTTTCAGTGGCATTTAGGAGATTTCTATTTCAGTGCTTTACTATTTATAAGTGCTTTAGGATGTGTCAAGTGAGAGTCTTATGATGGGTCAGGTATGAGTCATGAGAGAGGGGCTTGTGATGGGCCTTGTGATGGGGTGGTACTTCAGGTCATGATCATTGTAGAGTGTGAATTATCAGTGGCTGAGGTATGAGTCATCAAAGAGAGGATGGTGATGGATCTTGACCCCCTGATAATTCACATCCTCCAATAGCCCTGACCTGAAGTAACCTCCCCATCATGAGCCCATCTCTGATGACTCACACTTGACACATCATAAGACCCTCACTTGACACACCCACACCTGAAGTCCTTATAAAGCAGATATATGAAACACAAGGACTGCGTGTCGGGGCCGGCTTGCCAAGGGCCCAAATTTGGCTCCTGGAACTTTTCCAGAAATGGCAAGGGATCAGCCCCCGCTGCCCCAACCCCTGTTGCCCTAGCCATGGCCCATCCCAACCCAGCTGGGCACCCTCCCAGTGCACACAAAGGAAATGGTGAGCGCTTGGAGGCTGGAGGTGCACAGGAACAGCTGCAGCTCATTTGCCTCATCCTGCTCTGTCATTCCCTGTCTTGCTCCACCTCTCCCCACCTCACCCGTTACACCTGGCCATGCCTGGCTTTGATGGGCCTGTCCTCCTCCAGCTCTGCTTTGCTGGGTCTCGCCTCACCATGCCCAGCTCCACTTTGCTGGGCCAGGAACCAAAGCGGTGCTGAAAATAGTGGAGTCTGTATGTGCACCTGCCTTGCCCACATCAGCCTTGCTCTCCATGGCATGCTACAGCTGATCTGAGGCAAGGAGAGCATAGCTGATGGGTGAGTTTGTAGCAGGCACACACACAAAATCCGCTCTTTTCAGTGGCCCTTCTTGCCACTGGGGCTGCTGCTTGCCTAGCGCCTCGATGCCCCACTCACTGGCCTGATCTCACAGCCTGCAAGGCTTCCCTTTCACAAGGATGATCCTGCCCCCTAGTGGGAAAGCCATGGCCTGTGGAAGCTACACTGTTAATATCTCCCCCTCACCTCCCCCCTTCTTGAGCATGGAGGAGACAGAATGGGACTTTTAGGCCATGTAGCCTCTGCCTGCCAGCACGTGATAGGAGATCACAGGGACTGTTGGGGGGACACGACAGGTGAACAATGGTGGCATGCACTTTCTGGTATGAGTGGGAGTCAGAAGCAAAACTGCCCTTTTGGCAGATGTAGAGTCAATCCTGGCGTGAAATTGATAACCTACCAGTTCCATTAGAAATCTTTCCTTCTAGGCATGGAATGCAGTCATAGCAACAGAACTGACTGCCTTCAGCCCTTCTTTTCCAGGATCCAGGGGAACAGTGGTCATTACACAAAGAAACAGGAAGAACCTACAGACATAAACATAGCCATTGATATGAAAGAATCCCGATTAAACAATGGAAATTATTTACATTGGGTTACATAAATGACCTTTAACATTGTTAACATTTTACAGAGGGTTAGGGTTAGGGTTATTTGTTCCTTTGTATCTGAACATGATTGAGCCATAGTGGCACAACAGTTAGAATGCAGTATTGCATGCTAATTCTGGTCATTGCCAGGAATTCAAAGTTGACTCAGCCTTCCATCTTTCTGAGGTCAGTAAAATGAGGGGCCGGATTCTTGGGGACAATATGCTGACTGTAAACTCTTTAGAGAGGACTGTAAAGCACTATGAAGCGGTACATACTGTAATTCTAAGCACTATTGCTATTACTTTTCAATAATATAATAAACCAACAGCCCAATTGCTATTCATACCTGGTTAAAACCAGGGTGCCAAAGGATTGTGTTCTCAATGATAACTTCTTTCCCTTTTGGAGCATTGGGGTGTAACTTTCCAATTTTAACTCTCTGAAACGATCTGTTTGGGAACGTGATCATGTTGATAATGTCAAAGCCACCTGGACCTTCTCTTCTGTTTTTAAAGAAGACTCTTTCTCCAGCTGAGTTGTTAAAAGAAATCTCTTGAAGAAACTGGTGGAGCTACTTGAAGGAGAAAAATAAAGTCAAAAAGGAAACAATGCATCAGGAATTTCTCTTTCTTTTACTCTTCCTTCCAAGGAAACCAAACAACATTCGCTGTCTTCAAATACAGAAGAAGAAAATGTCAACACGCCAAGAACAATTAATAACTGAAATATGGAACTTACTTTATCAATTAATCGTCATGAGGACTTTAAAGACAGCAAACTCAGCAATTCTTCTGCTAATTTACGATAAATATAAAAACCAACATCATTTCATGGAAATAACACACCTCTGCTATAATAGAACAACTGTCATAAGCTTTATGTTCCCAGGATAACAAACCTGCCTTGATTAAATTTCAAAAAACTAATAAAAAATGAAATGTTCCCATTTCAGAAAGATTTATTGGGCAAAAAACAAAGACTGCCTTTAGATGCCTCTCCACTGTATTCTTGGAACCAGGACTGATGAATTTATAAGTCAGGAAAGAAGAAATGGTGATTAATGGAATGATGGTAGATTCATTCATCCCTTTCACTAGAGCAAAATTTGCAAAGGCAGTATGACTTTTAAATCTCTTTTATTCCACAAGAAACAACAATCTCTTACAATAAAACTCTAGTTGCTTTAGGATCTCTAATGATATGTGGCTATAGACCAGGGGAAACAAGTCATATCACATTGAGAATTACTATTTGCTAAAACAAAAGATAGGAATGGCATGGGGAGATTACCTGCCAAGGCTGCTGATTTGGAAATTCAACCCTTTGAATTTTTGTCCATTTGGGACTTGATCTCACTGCCTCATGCAAAGAATGTGCCACTGCATAAACAGCATTGTAGATACTGTAGCTTTGGCTAGTCATCTTCAACTCAAACAGAGGTGCAGGCAGATTCTCCAAATTCTCTTCCCCAGTACAGGTTCCACTGATAGATGAAGGTAAGTCTGCCTTTAAAAACACGCAGTCAAACAATTGTTGCCAAACCTCTTGAAGAAATCCATCTTTGTGGGTGGAAGGTTTGATGACTTGAAGAAATTCTTTGAAGCCTTTAACTTCTCTTGAATGCACTGTAAAGGAAAGAGCCCCATGGTACATTTGGAGATCCCAACTCCTTTGAGCTCCCGTCAGTATGATATCAATTGGGTTCATCAGGATCCAAACCTTTCTGAATAATGATCTGTTTTTATTTTCAGGACCACGTAGAAACATGACAGTTCTGAGCCACACTATTGTGAATGATTCTCCATAGACAAGAAAAACATTTGTTTTCCGATCCATCAATTTATTCGAAATAATTGAGATTGAACCTAATAATTCTGACAAATCTTCTAAGTGGATATGTTGTGGAATTTTTTGTGTGAAAGCTAAACAGATCCCATTCTGTGAAAGCAATGGCTGCAGTTTCTGCAAAAATCTTTCTCCCTTCGTTTCAACAGCAAAGACTCCAATCCACGTCCATCCATAATGGAGGAAAAGTTGTATAACTCCCATGTACTGATAGTCCTCATTTGGGACCATGCAGTAAAGTGAAGATAATTTGTTACTCTGAAATTCTTCCTGGGCAAAAGAGCCATAGGTCAACTACAGGAAAAGAAGGAAGGAAGGAAGGAAGGAAGGAAGGAAGGAAGGAAGGAAGGAAGGAAGGAAGGAAGGAAGGAAGGAAAGAAGGAAGACAGGCAGGCAGGAAGGAAGGAAGGAAGGAAGGAAGGAAGGAAGGAAGGAAGGAAGGAAGGAAGACAGAAAGATGAAAGGAAGGGAAAGGAAAGGAAAATTATTATTTATGATAACCAGTGGAAAAAGAGGGAAAAATGACTCCTAGATGGAAACTGAAAAATTAAAAAGTTGTCAAACTCTAGGTACATTATGGTTTTGATGAACATTATAGCAATAAAACCCCCAAGATGAAATATTTTCTCACTGAATGAATATAACTAGACTACAAACTAAATTTAGTTTGCTACTATGGAGTTCTATGAACAGCCAGAAACCTGCTAACTATCTGAGCATGTAAACTCTTCCTAGCTTAGGAAAAAAGCTTTTTAAGAGCTAGGGGTATTGTGTTACCTTCTTCCGTTCTCTGGCCAAGGTAGAGAATGGATGAAAGACTATCCACAAGACTCTGGAGGAATAGAAAGAGTCAAGTATGTCTTCATTTACTGCAATTATTATAGAAATCTCCCAAAGTAACATAAAGCTCCAATCCTTCAACAATTTCCAGCCAAATCAGTTGAATTTTACATTCAATTATTATTAACAGACACCAACCCAGACATAGCAAAGAGAGTTGTCACTATTATTGGGTGACTTGGTGGAATCTAGCAGCGTGTTGAGGACAGCAGTGAAAATGCTGGATAGGCTTGAGTTGGGGATGGGCAGGAAGTGACTGAACATAGATCCTCCCTAAAACCGTGAGACATGATAGCAGTGTTCCAATATTTATGGGTTGCTCCAAAGATGAAGGGTAAATTATTTTCCAAAGCTTCCAAAGGCAAGAGGAGAAACAATGGATGGAAACCAATCAAGGATTCAAACAACCTAAAATTAAGGAGAAATTTCTAATGGGGAGAATAATTAACCAATGAAACAACTTGCATTCAGAGGTTGTGGGTGCTCCATTACTGGAGGTTTGAAAAAGAGACTGGAAAATCATTTATCTAACATTGTATATGTTCTCCTGCTCAAAGAGTTTATGTAGTAATTGTGTAGCATGTGCTAGCCAGCCTTTTCACTCCTTATCTCAACACAGCTCCAGAATTCAACCACAGATAGTGGTCAGATCAGAACATCAAATGACCCTCTCAAATAAGATTAATTTTGTAATGTAATTTATGATTTACATTTTACTTTTCTAATCTATCAAATAAAAAGTTTTGATATACTTCACTGACTACTTTGAGCCAACCTATTGGGTTGTGGGGGGAAACTGCAGACAGGAGAAAAAGTGGATAGAATTGAAGTCCTGCAGAAAGGCACACCAGAAATAATCTCATATTCATTACACATGAAGTCAAATTACCTGTGGAATTTTGAAGAGGTTTATGCTTTCTGACATAAGGGATGAAGTAGGAGCACCTAGTCCCCCAATGATAGCCAGGAGATTCTTCTGGTTATCACATTTGTAGTTAGGGACAAATTCCTGGGATTTGAAAAGCAGGTCCAGAGTGGTACGATAGGTCAACCTTGGGTTGTAGTAACTATCATAGATATGGAACCCAAGAGTGATGTTAGGTAAAATCTGGGAGTCTTCATTGATCTCCTTCACAGCAAAGGCCATGGCAAGGACATGCTGATAAAATTTGGTTATTACACTGCAAATAAATTAAATACCCCATTGAAAAAAGAATTTCACAATTCTTGTAAAGTGGCAGCATTTCTATATGAATAACAAACCATCTCTCTTGGGAGTAGGAATAGAATATCCTTTCTAAAATATTCAATAGAGTTCCACAGAGTTCAATTTTACATTTTACCTGGTGTTTTCATGATTTGCAACAATAATATACTACAGCAAATAAAAGTAGTGACTTTTTTCAGTTAACAAATATAATTCTGACAATTTGGGCACAAAGTATAATAGGAACAGCTTCAGCAAGTATCACTCATTTACTCTATGTACATTTTGGGAGGGCTGATCATACGGAACATTTTTTAAATTACCTCAAGCTCATTAAATTTAATTTATACAATAAATTAATCATTATACTAAAGTCTATCTCATGAAATACATGTTATTTTGGTGTAAGAAGTCCTTCAATAGACTTTTTGTACCTAACTTTCATGCATTTCATGAGAAGGACATTAATATAATGTAAAGAAAATGCTTTCTTCTGTCATAAGACAATACATTTGAATGATAAAGGCTTGTATGTGTGTTTGTGTGTGTGTATGTGTGTGAGTGTGTCTGTGTGTATGTGTAAACTCTGCATTTATTTTCAAAAGCGTTTACAGCTTTCTCCTGAAAGTTTGGTGTAAAATGTCCTTCAATGGACTTCTTGCACAAAACTTTCATACATTTCATGAGAAGGTCTTTAATATAATGTAAAGAAAGCAAATATCAGAAATTTTGGGCAACCAGGTTAAGCTAAGAAAATACATGGGAAAAATAAAACTTCTTACAGAGGTAAGTCATAAGGTTTTAGAGAAGGATGTTCCTTAAATTCAATTTCATAAAAGTGGTAAAAAATGTGAGACACCATCCCACCAATGACAAGATCACCAGGCTGGAACCACTCATGTGGAACAGGGAAAGCTTCACTTGAATGGCTTCTCAGAGTAACTACCTTCTGCATTAGGAACATCAAAAGGAATAACATCTTCATGCTTTTGGGATGGTGAAAATATTTTTGTCTTCCAGAGTATGTATGCACCCCAATGGTTCATCCTCTGTTTAATCCCAATATTTTATCTGAAAATGCCCTTCATGGGACAATCCATCAATTTCTATTTGAACAGCCATGTATGTGCCAATTTGTATATGAATATCACCAGATTTGGAATATATGTTCTAGCAAGGAAGAAAGTCAGGAGGGAATGTGACACAATGAATCAGCCAGGATCATTATTATCCCTTGTGCCAATCTCCCTGTGGTTTAAAAGTTAATTAACAACTAAACAGATACTTTGATTGTTGTTGAATTGAAATGCCTTCATGCAAAGTCTTTAATATTTGAGCCTAGCTAAAAAAATAGATGATGACTCCGTTAGATAGTAATAGTAATAGTAATAGTAGTAAAGTTGGAAGGGACCTTGGAGGTCATCTAGTCCAACCCCCTGCTCGGGCAGGAAACCCTACACCATTTCGGACAAATGGCTGTCCAGTCTCTTCTTAAAAACTTCCAGTGTTGGAGCATTTACTGCTTCTGGAGGCAAGTGTTCCACTGATTAATTGTTCTCACTGTCAGGAAGTTTCTCCTAGTTCTAGGTTGCTTCTCTCCTTGATGAGTTTCCACCGTTGCTTCTTGTCCTGCCTTCAGGTGCTTTGGAAAATAGCTTAATTCCCTCTTCTTTATGGCAGCCCCTGAGATATTGGAATACTGCTATCATGTCCCCCCTTGTCCTTCTCTTCGTTAAACTAGACATACCCAATTCTCGCAACCGTTCCTTATATGTTTTAGCCTCCAGTCCCCTAATCATCTTTGTTGCTCTTCTCTGTACTCTTTCTAGAGTCTCAACATCTTTTTTACATCGTGGTGACCAAAAATGGATGCAGTATTCCAAGTGTGGCCTTACCAAGGCATTGAAGAGTGGTATTAATACTTCACGTGATCTTGATTCTATCCCTCTGTTTAATGCAGCCTAGCACTGTGTTGGCCTTTTGGGCAGCTGCAGCACACTGCTGGCTCATATTTAGTGATTGTCTATAGGACCCGAGGTCCCTCTCACAGTTACTACTATGGCATGGTGCCACTATGCTTGTACTTGTGCATTTGGTTTTTCTTGCCTAAATGTAGAACCTGCTTTTTTCACCATGAATTTCATTTTGTTAGTTAGTGCCCAGTGTTCAAGTCTGTCCAGATCCTTCTGTATCTGAAGCCTGTCTTCTGGAGTGTTGGCTATTCCTGCCAGCTTGGTGTCGTCTGCAAATTTGATGAGTTCCCCATCTATCCCTTTGTCCAAATCGTTGATGAAGATGTTGAAGAGTACTGGGCCCAGAACAGAGCCCTGGGGTACCCCACTACACACTTCCCTCCATATAGATGCAGTTCCATTGAGGACCACTCGCTGAGTACGGCCGGTCAGCCAGCTACGGATCCATCTGGTGGTGATTCTGTCTACCCCACATTTTTCTATCTTATCAAGTAGTAGGTTGTGATCTACTTTATCAAATGCCTTACTGAAGTCCAAGTAAATTATGTCCACAGCATTCCTCTGATCCACTAATTTTGTCACTTGGTCAAAGAATGCAATAAGATTTGTCTGCATGATCTATTTTTGACAAACCCATGTTGGCTTTTAGTAATGACTTTGTTTGCCTCTAGGTGTTCGTTGATTCGTTGTTTGATTATCTTTTCCAGGATCTTCCCAGGTATTGAGGTCAGGCTGATAGGTCTGTAATTTCCTGGATCCATTTTTTTTCCTTTTTTGATGATGGGAACTACATCAGCCTTTCCAGTCCTCTGGTAGTTCCCCTGTGTTCCAGGATCTTTGAAAAATATAGTTCAGTGGCTACGATATCACATCTGCCAGTTCCTTGAGAACTCTGGGGTGTAATCCATCTGGTCCTGGCGATTTGAACTCATCTAGGCTGGACAGGTGCTCCCTAACCATTTTCTTGCCTATCTTAACTTGTGTTTCTGTTTTGTTTTTTATGGCACTATTTTTGATAGGTTGGTCTGTTTTTTCCCTTTGTGTAAAGACAGATGCAAAAAATGATTTAAATAGTTCTGCTTTCTCCCTGTTGCTTGTCACCTTCTTGCCACTTCCACCCACTAATGGACCACTCATTTCCTTCACTTTTTTCTTGTTTTTTAATGTTGAAAGAAGCTTTTTTTGTTATTTTAGACTTTGGTCGCAAGCCTTAGTTCATTTTGAGCCTTGGCTTTCTTCACTTCATCTTTGCAGGCTCGGGCTATTTGCTGATATTCTGACTTAGTTATGGTCCCCTCTTTCCACTTTCTGTACTTGTCCTTTTTATCTTTCAATTTGTCATAGAGTTCTTTATGCAGCCATGCTGGTTTATTTTGAGAGCTGTTATTTTTCCTGTTTTGGGGGGTATTGTGCCTCGAGCTGTGCTTGTTTATTATCTCAATTTTTCAAAATTTCCGCTAAGCTTGCTTGAGTTGTTTTCCGCGCTTGGAGGATTCTTGCATCGCTATGAATTCGCTTACCAACCTCTACAAATCTAAGTTTATTGAAATTAGCTCTCTTGAAGTCCAAGACTCTAGTTTGACTGTGTTCTATTGGTTGTGCTTCTATAATGTTGAATTCTTATATTGCATGATCACTTCCTCCCAGGGTTCCTATGGCTCCAACACCGTCTATCATTTCATCTCTGTTAGTGAGAATTAGATCCAAAATGGCTAATCCCCTAGTTCCATTCTCTACTTTTTGGGAGACTAAGTTGTCTGCTAGGTTTGCCAGGAACCTGTTTGATCTTCCACTTGGTGCGGAGTTTGTCTCCCAGTTGATGTCAGGGTAGTTAAAGTCCCCCATTACTATTGTGATGTGCTTCCTACAT